AAATCCATTTGTACTATCAGTTTAACTGACCGTGTCTGTCCGTTAAACTGTTGTATGCAGGAAAATGACAATCTAGGTGCATTTATTTTACCCGAAAATAAGGCTCAAATATTTTATACGTGAAACTTAATATAAAATATTTATAAATGGTAACTTTTTAAAAATTAATGACCTATCAACTAGAGGTGGACCGAATATGTATTTCACCGAATACGAATATTCGGGCGAAAATTCGGTATACCTTTTACCGAACCGAATATTCGGCGAACTTTATTCGGCAGGATCACCTCTGTACATAACCAATTTATGTCGAAACTTGTTATCGTAAAGTGCGCGGGATTAGCGTCGGGCCCTGTCCTTCGCTCACCCGCCACACCTGACAATTTATTGCATTATTTAGTACTGAGAAAATTTTCGGTACATGTTTATGTTTCGACTACTTTTGTGAGAAAAAAAGTATTTCGTTGTGTTATTCTAAATTTAAATTGATAATTATATGACAAAAATGAGTGGCAGGAGATCTACTATTTGGACTTTAGAGAAACTGACGGCCAAAGTAAAATGACATGTACTAATGTAATGTAATGTTAATAATTGTTTGATTACAAAAAAATTATCAAGCATTCTATTTGCTATAATTGGAAATAAATCTACAGTGCCTCAAAAACATAACATAACAAGTAGATTTAACCCATAAATAAAATATACTTTCAACAGTAAAATTATGAGACATGGCATTACTCTATTCGTACATTTTCAATACAGTGGACACTTTGAGTACCACTTTAACGAATGTTCGGTGATTTAGCCGAATACGAATATTCCGTAAAGCTGCTGAATATCGAATATAAAACGAATATTCGGCCCATCTCTACTATTAACCTATCATGTAATTGCTAAGAACGATTGTTGTAAATATTTTTTAGTAGGTGTAGGTATAGTCATCGTCGACAGAAGTGGGCTTTTATATTTTATAAGAAATCATGTTTTATATTATAACGTAACACATAATACTAGAAATATAAACTTTAATGTGTATCTTATGTAATATGTAACCTAAGGTTGAAAATTTTTGTTACAAGTTGAAGTTTATACCATATGTGTGCTTTGCTGCGCTATGTTTTTGATGTAAGATATTTTGTTACCACATGAGGTGTTGTTAAGGTACCAACAGACAATGCAAGTTAATCAACTTGAAAACATGAATCGTCAGTGGTGTATAGATTTAAATTATTTATATAATTAAAAAAAAACACCCATGAACTTTAATTTAAGAACTAAATTAAATAATATTTTTATCTATCATTCAACGATCGTTTCTTGCTTCATTCTGATATGTCGCATAATTACGTCTATTCCAACCATTAAATATTTAAAATATTTACAGAATTTTTACGCAATTAATTTACTTCCTAATACATTTCAGACCTTTCGAATGCTGTAAAGCACTCATGATCACGGGGTACTTAGGTACCTTCAGCAGCTAGTTATTAATTTTTAGTCTGACCTATGTTGATTGAACTTACAATGTCTTGAAGTTTTTGCAGTTATATGCTTGGATTTCGATTTAAGTTTATTAATTATAGCATCCCGAGGTGGTAGCACCCTGCCAGCTTTATTTTATTTATTTTGATAGAAGAACCATGCAAGTATACTTTGACTCACCTGATTGTTAAGTGATCGCCACAGCCAAGGAACATATTATATATATATATATATATATATATATATATATATATATATATATATATATATATATACGAGTAAGCGGTCCATCCTATGGAAATCAATCATTCTACTATAATAATATACTATAATCAGTCTACGAGTACATAATAATTCATAAACTTACGCCTGTCATCCAAAACGGTAGGCAGAGACTAGGACATCCATTTCACAAAATCCTGGCACTGTTTTACGAATTTCAGAAGTACCTTAACCAGTGAATATTTTGCTTAAAATTCTTCATCTTAATTAAAATATTCATAATATACTTAGTTTTTAACTTTAAAGTATTGTTCAAAATAAAAAAGTGAAAGTTGGGTGTGGCAGGTAGAATCACGAGCGTAGAATAAATGCGGTTATCAAAGAGTATGTTAGGGCTCAATCTGAATGACAGGGTGAGAAATGTTGTAATAAGAGAAATGTGGTTTGCAAGACGGTTTAGGGACCTAGATTAAGAAAAGAATGCTTCGATGGTTTGATCATGTAGGAAGAATGAACGAGGAAAGAGCGACAAAGAAAATTTATGTTGCAGAAGTAAACGGAAGAGTTGGGAAGGTATCCCTTACGACGAAAGTATATCGACCAAATTGGTCTTTTTTTTTAAGTTAAAAAGTATCTGGACTGTATGGTGGGTGGCAAATTTTCGCAAACCCGGAGTCTTGAAGAGCCGCGCCGTGTCAACCGGTGCGTAGTCATGAAGAAGCAAGACTCCCTGGTCAACTTTCCTCTTCTCTTTTTTTTAATGATTGGCCCACCCAGGCAGGCGTCATATTCGATGCTTTCTCTGACTTTTTTGAATACACTTGACCATTTGTGTAAATTGAAGGAGCAGAGTATAAGGATAAACGGCCATTATCTCTTCATGGATGTTTTTCAGCTTTTGCTTGTTTAGTGAGGAATTTAATTACCACACGGTGTTCGATTTTTTTTTCAACATTGTCGAGTCAGTCATGCCCATCGTCTATGACTGAAGCCTACATAAGAAGTAATGAAGTTATCAAGACGAATCTTCATATGTATACTACACTCAGTGTCGTTAGCTAATGTTATTTTTTATTACGAGAATACATTGAACGCCCCACGTAGATCGGCCAGATTAAGTACCCTTAACCGACGAGCATGTATGCGTAGGTATATGGATGTGAGAGGTGTGTCAGAATCGTGCCAAATGGAAATCAGTTAGTCTAATAGTTTCATTATTATACTTTTTATTTAAACAATAAGTCAGTAATTGCTGTAAGTTTTTCGAATAAAATGAAATATATTTATGCTATCTACGCCAATTTGATCGATAAACTTTTGTCTAGGACGTATCTTGCCACTCACTTCTGCAGCATAAATTAGCTTGGACACTCTCTCTTCATTCATTCCTTTTACGAGTGCAAACTACTGAAGCATTCCATCCATAGTCCTGGTCACAACATTTTATAAGCAACACTTCTCTTATCACACAACAATTTCTTATTCGAAATCACCCTTAACGTACTTCTTAATAACTGCATTACTTTACTTTTATGCTTCTTTTGCCATGCCACTTTAACTACCTGAATATGTTAAGGGAGGGACTTACACAGCATTGTGGTTTTGCCATATTTTATTGACACATTTTGGGTTCCCATTTACTGAGTCCAGTATTCTTTATTCTATATCATAGTCAGATGCTTGAACATGTTCACAGACTGCAGGAACACTTGACATGCGAGGAGGTATAAAAATAAGTAGATTAAATGCGATAAAAATCAGTAAAATTTGGTTCATTTGATGGGTGTAAAATTATTGTTATCTAAGAATTCATTATTTTATTTAACTATATTAATTATATGACTTGGTTTAAATTCCGTGTTCGTGACTAACTTTTGTATGTTTGTTGTAATGTAAGCATTAAATACGTTTTATACCAGCTTTTGGTTAATTTACAATAAAATATTAAAAATAATAATGGTGTTTCATTAAAATAAAAACAAACATGTAAAATGGAAGATTTGTAGTAAATGTATATTTCCATATTAATACAATCACCAGGTACAATTTTTGAGTGACAGATTTACAAATATATTTTTTTAGTCAAAAATTTATTTCAAATTTTGTCTAAATAAAGGACTATCTTAATTAGACAACAATATTATCTCAGAGTTAATGAAATTATTCCGATTTAGTACAGTCCTTTTTCTTTAATGAGGATTTTAAAAACGCTAAAAAATAATAAAATGTGTGATAAAACAACTTTTCTGTAGGTTTTTTCCAATTCTGGTACATCATGAAACATGACAGTATCCCTTTACAATAAAAATCACTCTAATAATAAGTAGTCCATAAAGACTTTACAATAATAACTACAAATCCAGTGATACTGTCATCAGATCACATCAGCAGTCCCACCATCACATTGATTATCTAACAATAATTAAAAATTACGGTCAACGATTCGCTCCAGTAATTTCTAAGTTAAAGCCGAAGACACCTTGAGTAGTTTCATTAATCTACCTAAACATTTGTGAACAATCTGGCCAGCAGAGCAGTTTAAACATGCTCGAAGGTATCTCGATGAGCTACGATTTAATAGTGTCAGCAAAACACATTCGTTGCAGGACCGCTGTTACAACATTCAGTCATTGCTATTTTAAATTAAAAAAAAAAAACACTGATATTTTAAAACATGACCATAGTAAAACATATTTAATAATCTAACATCTTGTTACAACTTTAATAGGCACAACTGCGTAATATGTTTGAAGCTATGAAAATATAATTCATCTGGCATGACGTAAAATATTTAATACTATGCAAGGGCTTGCAACATAGCCTCAATAGAATTAAGCGGAGTCAATTTACATGGTACAATTCCGATATTGACATCCAGAATCACAGAACATTTCTAACATAGCTTCAATATATCCTAACAAGGATTTCGAAATTTAGGGGATGTCAATAAAACTGCCCAAAATAGTGAACACATTCTGCTCACCTACTCTTTTTAAACTATACTAAGTGCGAACGCATCTGGACGTAGACATTTTGCTTGCTCTTTCTTGCGGGAACCACCGGCTGACACCTTCCATTATTGGATACAACACTGTCACACCAAAACAATGTCCAACTTCTTAAAATCACATCCCTAATTTCTTCCCGCAAATACAACTTTAGCTTTTTTTTAAATAGATTACATACACACACTTAAATCACCATCTCACGCTTTTCCGTTACTTAATTGCTTTGTGATTAGTCCACGCGATAATAAATTAAGATTCAGTGTACTCCCTGCAACATGATTTCTTCTACTTTGCTGTGGAAAAAATGGAATATTTATAATTACAATACATTCAGAATATTTTTTTTAAATGGTAAACTCCTTTTCTGTCAAGGAGTCTATATATAAAGGTTAATTACGTCTGCTTATTTACTAACTACTTCCGACACAAGACAGCACTACAAGCACTGCTGCGCTCCGGTCAAAAAATATAGAGCCAGTATATTTACAGGTTGTGAGGCATCCATCATAGTTTTCATAAGCGACAACCTTCTTAGTTTGAAGTTTGTTGCAAGTGTGATTGGACTACAGTAGCTATTTCCCATCAGGTGGACTGTGAGTTTATCTGTCACTTCAGTGTTATAGAGAAAATCAGATTAAATTTAAACTTAAATAATACTTCAGTTTGATGACAGTGTAAGTGAATCATTCACCCCATTTAGTCACGTAGGTGACGGTAGGTGTCGTAATAGATAACGGATGGAAAACGTCAGCATTATAAAGGCGGTACCTTGTACATTTAAAATATAACATGCAGATCGGCGACAGGCTCGGTGTATAGTACTGTGATCGGAAACTCGCCAAATGCGATAATAAAATTAAATCATACCTTCGTACAATATGGTAAGGGCCCATATCTATCACTAGACTTAATAATTTCGTGTTTGTTTTATTCTTGCGATTAAATAGACAGCTACAAAATGACAAACTTATGATATTAAATTAACCAATTGTTTTGTGCAAATTTTATTGTACGGTTTTCCGAATTGTTCAGATTAAAGCATGTTACAATTTAAAATATTACGACAAAAATTAGGAAAACACAAAATGTAATTTAAGTCACACACAATATTGCTTCTTCACATCATCGCCTGTCTGAGATCTAGGATTGAGTAACAATGGATAGTTTCCAACATCAGCCAGTTGCCAGCCATTTGTCATTCTAATCACTTGCTCATCAGCACTATGAAATTTGATTAGCAGATGTTGGCATTGTCGGCATGACCGTCTAGTGGAGGTTAAGAATATCCACTACCCCATATCTTCCCGTGGGTGTCGTAAAAGGCGACAGAGGGAGACAGGTAGGAGATGGGCAGCAGCATCTTTCTGATAACAGCAACTGTACAACAAAAAAACTGCGGTTGCCAACCCGCTCGCCTTGTGCCAACTATGGCAATATACCCCCCATTTAGAATTACACAAATAGACGGCCCCCAGTCCCCGGCAGCCCCGCTATTCCTGGCTACGGTGGCGACCACGGTAACGGCGGGGCAGGGGGTGCTAAGAATCTCCGGTGGAGTTTCGGTTGCCACCTACGACGACTCGACCTGGTAACATATAACGCACGCACCCTGAGGACTGACAAGAAGATACTGGAGCTGAAGAGGTAGACAAGTTGCGCTGGCTTATTATTGGATTATCCGAGGTCCGAAGAGAGGGGGAGGACACGGTGATGCTCGAATCCGGCAACTTGTTCTATCACCGGGAGGGCGACCATCTGTTCCAAGGAGGTGTTGGATTTATCGTCCACAATCGTTAACAACGTTTTAAAGATTGGGAGTGTATCGACGAGGGTTGCGTACCTTATACTCAGAATCACCGAACGGTATTCGCTGAAGGTCATACAGGTTTACGCGCCAACGTCGGAACATCCCGATGAGAAGGTGGAGGAAATGTATGAGGATATTTCCAGAGCCATGCATTCCTCCAAAACTCACTAAGAGGGACTTTTTATGATGAACTCTTTCTTCCAAGCGGCGCCACAGAAAGTAGACCTGGTCGAGCCCAGACGGTTCAACAAAAAACGAAATTGACTTCATTATGACGACCAGACGCCAACTGTTCAGTGATGTCTCAGTGATCGCAAGGGTGACAACTGGCAGCGATCAACGAATAGTTAGAGGCACACTCAACCTAAATGTTAAGTTGGAGAGGTCTCGTCTAATCAAGTCAACGCTCCGTCCCCCTCGTGCTCGAATCCAGAATCCCGAAACCTTTCAGCTCGAGTTACGTAACCGTTTTCAGTGCCTAAAAGATTGCAATGCAGTGGACGATATGAATGACAAGCTCGTGGAAACTGTCCATGCGGTCGGAGCTTAGTTCTGCAAGACCGGCCGCAGAAGAACACAAAAGCTCTCCGATCATACTCTTAATCTCATGGCTGTTAGATGGGAGATGAGGCTGCAATCGTCAAGAGATTTGACAGCACAGGCTCCAAATGCATGCGGCGAGACTTACGCAACTTTAATACTGCTCGTATTAAAGAAGCAATCGAGCGGAACCAGGGCTCCAAAGTCTTTGCCAGAGATCTGTCTGCCAGAAAGAGCCAACTATCAAAGCTGAAGACTGAGTGTGGCAGCATCGTTTCCGGGACACCTGAGATTTTGAGTGAGATTGAGAGGTTCTATGGGCAGCTGTACACATCATCGTTGGAGCCACACGCAAGTGTGAGTAACGATCCAAGAGTAAGTCTTATCCGACTGTATTCCGATGACATCCCGGACATCAGTCTGAGCGAGATTAGAATGGCTCTCCAGCAACTTAAAAACGGCAGGGCCCAAGGCGAGGATAGAATTACAGCGAGGCGAGGATGGAATTACAGCGGAGCTTCTGAAAGCGGGTGGAACACCAGTACTTGAAGTCCTTCAGAAGCTCTTCAATTCCATCCTCCATGGTGGCACTACACTACCTTCTGAGCCGCGTCTACGTGCTGTTTTCGAGTCATTACGAATCGTCTCACACGCAGACTCGACGACTTCCAGCCTCCTGAACAAGCCGGTTTCCGACAAGGCTTCAGTACCATAAACCACATACATACCCTGCGGCAGATTGTACAGAAGACCCAAGAGTACAATCTGCCACTTTGCCTGGCGTATGTGGGCTATGAGAAAGCCTTTGATTTCGTCGAAATTTGGGCGGTGCTACAGTCCCTTCAGCGGTGCCAAGTTGACTGACGGTATATCGAAGTGCTGAAATGTTTGTACAGTAGGGCTACGATGGCTATCAGAGTATAGAACCAGAGCTCGAAACCTATCCAACTGCAGAGAGGTGTAAGACAGGGTGACGTTATTTCCCCGAAACTCTTCACCGTTGCATTGGAAGACGTTTTCAAGCTACTGGACTGGAAAGGATACGGTATTAACATCAATGGCGAGTACGTCACTCACCTTCGATTTGCCGACGATATAGTCCATATGGCAGAATCGCTGGAGGACCTAAGCACTATGCTCAATGACCTCAGTGGTGTCTCCCAATGGATAGGTCTTAAGATGAACATGGACAAAACAAAGATCATGTTTAATGTCCATGTCACACCTATGCCGGTAGTTGTTGGGAGCACTATGCTCGAAGTTATTGACAAGCACGTTTACCTGGGACAAATAGTCCGACTAGGTAAGTCCAACTTCAACCGAGAGGTCTATCGACGGATTCAACTCGGCTGGGCAGCGTTTGGGAAATTACGACACATCTTCTCGTCAGGTATACCTCAATCTCTGAAAACTAGATTGTTCGTGTCGCCAGTGATGACTTACGGATCTGAGACGTAGTCCTTCACTGCTGGCCGTATGAGGACGCTCAAGGTCGCTCAGCGAGCTATGAAGAGGGCTATGCTCGGAGTTTCTCTGTGTGATGGACTCAGAAATGAGCATATCCGCAGTAAAACCAGAGTGACCGACATAGCCCAACGGATTAGTAAGCTGAAGTGGCAATGGGCCGGCCATGTAGTTCGAAGAACCGATAACCGATGGGGAAGAAAGGTTCTCGAGTGGCAGCCTCATACTGGTATGCGTAGTGTAGGGCGACACCCACTAGATGGAGTGATTACCTGGTAAGATATGCAGGAAGTCGATGAATGCAGATGGCTCAGGACTGTACTTTGTGGCATTACTTGAGGGAGGCCTATGTTCAGCAGTGGACTTGTGAAGGGCTGTAATGATGATGATGATGTTGGCATTTGGTGAAATCACTACAGCCCATCAAAAGTTAATTGCCGAACATAGGCCTCCGCCATTGATTGCATCATAGAGAGGAAACTTGGCATTGGTGCCACACTTGGCAGGCATGTTGGCTACTGCATCTTTTGATAATTTTGTGCCCTTATCAGAAAATTGCTACTGCTCCTCTCGTGCTTCATTTTTCCTCTGTCCCCTCTTATGATAACCGCAGGGCAATATCTACGCAATTGTAGTTACAGACTAGACGGGGTTATTTTGTAATATAAGGCTAGATTTGCAGAGGAGGTTCAAAACTCAGAATTTTTGTCCTTTTTCTTTTATATTCAAAATGTTCAGAAATGCATTATTTTACTTGATTGTCATTCATAAATATGTAGCGCCCACTATTTTATTACGCATATTAAAGATATTTTCTAATAAATGTAGAAACCTTATTTGAAAACTGCAAAAAGTGTATATCAGGATTTATGTTTTGAACTTAAACTGGGCACAGGCTTTCTTTTGCGTCTGAGAGTTATGGAGCAATTATTTCACCATGCTGCCCCAGTGACATATTTTTTACTTTTTTTTGACAATTATGTTCCCTCGCGGTGATTTTTCAAACGGTTAAAAAGTACTTATACAAAACAAAGTTTTGTAACATCCTATTCTTTGATTTTCAATTATTTTTGTGTTCAGTCCAAACGCGACATTAATATTGCGAGTTATTTCTGTTGCGTTACAACCACTTCGAGAATCTAATTCTAAAATTACCCTAATATTTAATTTTTCCGTATTAAACTCTTATTTAACATGGAAAACTGGTGACGCCGCGAATCTAAATGCAGATTACTTAGATTCTTAATCGAAGATAGACGTAGGTGTCTACGAGCCACAGCATCCATTTATCATCAAGTGGAATGTGTGCTTGTCTTTTTATTCTATAAAAAAAGAATGCTTTAATTTTTTAATATGAAAATTTCATACTTACTAAATTAAATTTACCGTGGCGGTGTAATAATATCCACTACCTCATGTCATCCCATGGGTGTCGTAAGAGGCGAGAAAAGAGTGAAACAAATCCGATGGGCCGCAGCGTTTTCCTAATAACTACTAAAAATCGAAACTTGCGCTTGCCAACTCGTTTGCTAAGCGTAATCAGGTGGACTGTGTGCTAGTTTGTTACCCATACTATATAAAAAAATCGGTATGAACGCGACCTACGAACGAGGCGCGGCGGTAGTGATGGTGATGGTGGTGGTGGTATTCGTGGTGGTTTACTGACCGGCGGCGGTGGAATGGTGCGCGGAGGCACCGGCTCCCGCGGGCGCGGTGGGCACGCTGCTGCGCGGCTGCCGGATGTTGTTGCCGCGGCCGCGCGCGCCACGCATCGCCCGCCAGCTGGGGAAGTACGACATACTGCCACTCAGTTACGTTAGCTGCCCGCCCCCACCCCCGCACGCACACACTGCAGCGATACCACCTCATGCTAGTACACCACCATACTGCACGCTCAACACGGCGGGACACCGGGTTGTACTTCAGTGTTGAGTGTCAGGCACGTCGTGTGATATATGCTTACCATAATACTAATGAAAGAAGATCATAAGTGAAAGGAAAATCAACTAAGAATGCAAGTGTAATGCACGCCATCAAAAAATAACATCATAAGCCATTCTTTACGTATAGAAGGCATAAAAATTAATTTCAATTATTGCTTCAAATTAATTTGGTTTTGTTTTAATGTTGGTAAATTAGATAATGAAGATATAACTTTAACAACAGCAGTAATAACATATTTTAAAAAAAATTACAAAATTAACAATCCTAAAGTAAAAAGTAATTTTGAATTTCATAGATCCAAACTGATTATATTATTAAATGATTTTTTTCTCACTATACTGGTGCAACTAAATATAGTTCTAGATAATTTCTTCTTAGTTTGCTATACCCTAAGATAAAAAGTGCAAAAAAAAAAAATAATTTGCCACACTTTTTACTTTATGACAACATGGGACCAGTATTAGCAGTTAAAATAAAAATATTTCATTCTAATACCAATTTATCGCTTGTAAAAAAAGGCCTCACTAAAATTGTCTCTTATATGGTGAAAGCAATTTACAAACATAAATTTAACAAGAATAACCGCGGTAGAGCCATGCTGCACCAATAGTAGTTGTAGTACGAATGTGTCGGCTCGACCGGAGAAGGACCACGCTCTCACAAAATACCAGTATCAAATAGCGGCATAAAGCTATTGTTTCGTATGGTGAGTGTTGAGCAACATAGATCCTTTTTACTGAAAACGAGACATTCCATCTTATTCCCCAAGGGTGACAATGCATCTGCATTTTGAATAATAATCAAAGATAAATGTAGAATGTAGATGTCAATGGGCCAGCTTACCATTAGGTGGACTGTGTGCCCAGACCTAAAACAATTACATAAACACTCACACAGACTTCCATGTGGCACAATTCTGACACACCTCTATCGCCTCCTTCACATCCATATACCTACGCATAGATGCTTGTCGATTAAGGGTACTCGTAATTTGGTCCGTTTGCCACCCGTGGTACACCACACATAAAACATGACTTGTAGGCCATACAAATATTCGTTCCGTGCTGGTTTCGAGCCGTCACGGAGCGGCTGGATATTAATGTGTCGTCGGCGATATAGAGAATTTGTTTTTAAAATGAGGAGTAGGGTTAGGAACAAAATACTCACGGTTGATGGTGCGAATTGTGTTGGTTGTGCAGGTTGTGCCGCCAGTTGGCGCGACCGCGCCAGGCTCCGCGGCGCGCCGACGCCACGCCGAACGTCTCCGAGTTCAGCTTGCGCTCGGTCCGCCAGTCAGTCCGCTGACTGCGCCCCTTTGATCTAAAACGATACGAACACCACACATTAAACATTCCAACATCTTGCAACAGCCGGACACGGGTCTTGTCCATAGTAGATACATACTGCCGCAATCGCCACTCTAGGCTTTATTGACTGCCGGCTGAGCTCAGTTTCCCACAAGGTTCCCTTAGAGATAGACAAATAGATATAATTGTGTTTAATGCATCGTTCTTCGGATAACATTAGTATTATGACCTGTAGTAGCGCGACATTGCGCTTCACCATTGCTTCAAATTTCAGAGCTAAAGAAAAAACAGGAACTCAGTGCTATATATACACCTGTGGATGAGAGATTCTGCGAATTGTGTTAAGATGTGTTTGAGTACAATCCGAGAGGCTTTCCTTGAATAATAACACAATATACTCTTGCGGTATACTATACTACTTCTTAATAGAGCGATTTCGTAATTATTTTCTGCGAAGTGTGTTAAGATATACTTGTGAGCAATCCGAGGGGTTGTTTCTTCTATATAAATTATCACAAAATGCTCTTGGGGACTTCTACATAAAGTGCAATCGTAATTATTATATTATTTTCTACGAATTATGTTAAAATGTTCTTAAGTAATCAGTGAGATTGTTTTTCCTTGCATTTTATCCCAATATACTCTTGGGGTGTACTTTTTTTAATATGATGCAATCGTAATATCTGGATTATTTCTGTCGTGTATTAAAATATGCTTGAGATCGTTTCTTTGCATATTATGGCAATATGCTGTCATTGTGTATTATTCTTTAGAATGTACTCCAAGTTTACAGAAGTGACTCAGTGGTTACAAATGAACTAAAATTGCATAAATGTATCAGTGTACAGCTGGGTGAAGAAGGAGCGGATTCTCGTTAGGGGTCCAAATACCATTGAAGTCTAAGTAGGGTTTTTTTAGTTTAAATTGTAAAGTTGCTCTCGGAATGTTATATTCGTTTGCCAACAGCTCTCAAAGACAAAGACAATAAAACATTACAAACATTTCTAAAGTCTCATCTGGAGCTTCTTTGAATAGTGAGGTGTTATTGGCATGGTTCTTTATTCTTTAACATATTAGAAAAAGAAAAAGATTAAATAGTGATTTTTGTTCAAAATAAATGAATTAAAATTATAGTTATTGGCCTTTTTAATATGGATTAGTATTACTTGTGACCAATGATGTATAAACTTATAGATACGTTGTCCGCACTCTAAAATGGCAAGATGAAATGAAGCCAATTGGCCACATCGCGCTTAGTCACGCACCAACCTGTCGCGCGACGCTACGTTTGTTTTTAATTTATTATATCGTGATTCGTGTGTGTAAACCTGTGCAAAACATAAAGAAAACGTGCCGTCGTGTGTTTTCAGACGATGTACAAATTATACCCCAAAAGTTAAAGACAAAAATGTGTCATTTCATATGTAAGTTCACAAGACTACCTATTTTCATTTCCTTTTATTCGACGTCGTTGTCTAATGGCGGCCGGCGCATGCAGCTAGTAGTCAAGCAACAGGCATCCCGCCGTACCTACGGTGAATATTTTCTTTCTCTTTCTTCACGCGTATAAGTAGTTCTAGTATTTTCGCCGTTTTTAAGTGCCGCGATGTTCGTTCATGACGTGTCTATATATAATACGTCATTGCTTGTGACACAGTGCTTGGCCTAGGCCAATAACTACCTATAGATACTATATATCTCTAAATTTTGTGAGAATTGAATGGGCGGTGAAATATCGAAAAATAAAGGAAATTTATTTTTTATAAACATAATTTGTTCAGTAAAAGGATAAGTATGTATAGTAATGGGCCACAATATTTTTTTAGGTTATGTTAAGATGTTAATGTTTTTCAGTTTTACCATGCTTAGTGGTCTTAAAATACTATATATTATACAGATTTGTACACATTGAACTATGATCAGTATAGTCAAAATAACACATTAAAAAAATGTGCACTCCTTACAATTTTTTTAACAAATTTACCTGATTGCGTACCGACGCGAAGAAATCACCGATTACAGAAGGACGAATTCTCCTACCGGTGTTTGGATGCAACTTCTTGGGAGTCAATAACTGTGTTGCCATAATATATATTATTAAATAACGTTTAATCATTGTTAAGTTGCTAGTTTTTTAGAACCAAAGTTGAAATAGCTAATAACTGTATAGGGGCCAATGACGATACCGTTTCCCCTATTTGAAAAATCTCAAATAGATAATCTAATAAAATATACCGAATGTGTAATTAATAATCAACAGAAATTACCTCGTATGCGAAGTTCGATTGTAATTGTGTGGTATACATTGTTCAAGGATTATATTAGTATTACGACCCGTATTCAGAGCTAAAGAAAATGAGAGGAGGCCTGTACCAAGCAGTAGGACATATATAGGTTGTAACTTTACATTTACTTTACTATATAAAATGGTAAGCAAAAGATGCTTACCTTATCAAGGTGACAAAAGATAGTTTAAATTTGTGAAAAATAAGAAACTGTTTGTGTAAGCTTTCGAACTCTATATTGCTGATACAGGTTAAATACATTAGGATACAAAATGGCAAATTGATAATTTGACTTTAGGCATTATAATAAGTTTTCGAAAGCCAAAAAATTGATAGGCCTCTGTTTAGCAGTAGTGAGGATGATGAAGTATTGGTCTGTTTACATGTAGAGTATATTATTAATATAACAGAAGTAGGCGTTACTTTACGGAGATCCATTAATTAAAGTTGTTAAGAATTAATTCGCACACATCCGCTCAATAAAAAAAAATTATGTGTCTTACCTAGTTTGAAGAGCACCTCTTTCAATTGCGTGCACTAATCCCAGCACCACTACCCCACTACACTAGAAAAGACACCATAGACGATAATACGACACGTGTTTCGCCTCTACACGAGGCATCCTCAGGTGATGTAGACTCTGCGGTGGCTGACTGTTAAGTCAGCGGCTTAGCTTTAGCTTTTAATTTTATTGAGCGGATGTGTGCAAATTAATTCTTAACAACTTTAATATATTATTAATGTCGACTTGTGTATCCTGGCATCAAGGCTCAGGAGCGGTAGCAACAAACACATTTATTATTTCATGGTATGAATTACAAATTTTATGCATTCCAACCATTGGACATGCTTTTAAAAATGTCTTACAGTGATTGTAAATTAATTAATATTATAGTTAGTAAATTATCAATTTATGAGCTATTTGTATTGGTATTGTACCACTGTGAATTTTTTTCTTTATTTAACAAATGACTAATCTCTATTACAATAATGTATTTATCCTGTCAGTCATCAGGGATAACACAAATTTCATTGCAATTTATCCCCCGGTGGCAAATATTTTGTATGACAAGCACTACTGAGGACAGGAACTTGTTCAGTAATGTTAGGTGTAATGTATGCTTCTAATGTCAACATTACATTAATGCAGTATGAAGCATGCCATTATCATCATTCTCTAAGCCATTTCCCATTATCTGGGGTCGGCTGAAGCATGCCATTATATATTGCGTAATTCATAACTGGGGTCAAATTGAACCTACTGTAGCAAACAGACTTAGGTAAATATTTAAGTGTTATTCGGAGAAAGTGTGCAATATTTAACTATGAATTGTCAGCTTTCTGCAATATAGCCTATTAGTCAGTCCATAAAAGGATTTTTAAGTGTTCATATCAAAATGCTCTACTAAAACATAATTCTACATTGGATTTATTTTGAATTTTTTACATAACTTTTATCCTTAAAAGACCAAAGTTTTGAAGTTATTTCTAAAAAGTTGGTCACTCTTGTGACATTAGTTACTGCACACAGAGTGCAAACATAATATAAAGGTCTCTAATGTAGGAATTTTCTTTCATAACGTTTGCAAAGAGTCGTACTGTATTATCACCAACTTTTAGTAAATGGATTTATTTTAACATAATATATATTGTAATAGCGTGTTTACATTTAAATATATACAGCGCATAGTGCGTATAGCACCAGCTATGCTGCTACTATTGGATAAATAGTTAGGTTAGGTAATACTCTTTATTTGCAAAATTTTACAAAAAGGAGTTTTTTGACAGAGCCCAGGGAATTTTTTTCAAATTTCATACTAGAAAGTTAAGCTTTTTCATAATTTTAGGGAAGATAATGTAATAATGGTTTATTACATTGTTATTTGTTACTGCTCTTACAGGAAGATGGATAAGGTTGATTGATATTATTTGATTTGAATAAAACACACAGGCTGAATAGATAGATTATTTGGCAATTTATTTCACATTTTCTTAACTCACATCTACAGGTAATAATGCTAATGTAATCCGAAGAACGATGCATTAAACACAATTAAAAAACTAACTTACCTTGTATGTTAAGTTCGATTATAATTGCGCGATATGCATCGTTTGAGGATTACACAAACCCAATATCAATCCATTCATAAACTGGATTCACCTAAAAATGTGAAATAAATACTTGATTACCTCTGAACTAAATGACAACCATAAATTGGAGCGCAGAGTAAGAAAGTTGGATGCGGTATTTTTTTTTTGTTTTTCTTTAGCTCTGAAATTCGTGGCAACGGTGAAGCGTGACGTCGCGCTACTACAGGTCGTAATACTAATATAATCCTTGAACAATGTATATCACACAATTACAATCGAACTTCGCATACGAGGTAAGTTCTTTTGATTATTAATTACACATTCAGTATATTTTATTAGATTATTTAATATACTTAAATTATATAATAATAATAGGTATTTATAGAAAATCACATTTGAGATTTTTCAAATAGGGGAAACGGTATAGTCATTGGCCCCTATACAGTTATTAAACATTTCAACTTTGGTTCTAAAAAAAAAACTAGCAACTTAACAATGATTAAACGTTTTTTAATAATATATAATATTATGGCAACACAGTTATTGACTACCAAAAAGTTGCATCAAAACACCGGTAGGAGAATTCGTCTTTCTGTAATCGGTGATTTCTTCGCGTCGGTACGCAATCAGGTAAATT